TTTAGATTTATCCAATTTTAGTAGATCCTATATCTACTAGAACCAGTTTAATGTCAAAAGTATTTGAATTTTGGTAAGTCTATTTTTTTTCTATAGTTTTTTTTTATGTTTACTATATCACTTGCTAGTATGCTTTTTCTTTATTTCTGGTATGTCTACTACTTCTTTTGCATTAAGCACCAACTCTCCATATTAGAAAACTTCTTTTTAGGAACTTCCTTATATACTGATCTTCTAATCATATAGATTTAGTCACAGGGCTTCACATATATTCATATGCTTTCATAGATTACAGAGTTTTGCTTCCAGCTGAAATTGAATTATTGATCTTGTCTGTAGAGGAAAGAATGCCTAAACTACTAGGCTATGGAACTCCATTCTAATTTATAGATAATTATTTATATAATATTTATATTATAGCAACTGTTACTAATAATTAGGTTAGAATATCTGTAATAGTGGTTATACTAGTATAACTGGCAGGTTATAGGCATCTATATAACTTGTTATATAGAGAAATGTAAACTGATAAATCAGGTAATGCAAACACTAGATAAGTTTTTGTAACTATATAAATTTGTTAAAATTAGATAACAAGAAGTCTATTTGAAATTGTAATAACCAAATAGACAAGAACCTTTAAGTTGAAAGTCTCAAAAATGTTACCAACTAGGCTGCCAAAATGAACAAAAAAAAAGAATATTAGGCTAATCTGATATGTCAATGAACTGGGCATAGTTTTATATGAGCTATCTGAATTAGAAGTTTAGTAAAAAAACTGAATAAAAAATAAGAGTATACTAAAGTATCAAGGTTATGTTATGAAGTAGATACTGGGGTCTATATGAACTCTACAAGAACACAACAGTTTAATAATTAAGTTCTGATTACAAGTATTAGTTCTATTATAGTAATACTTAGATTAACTATAAAAATAAATATAAAAAACTCTAGAAGGTTTATCTTAAAGATAAATTAGTTCTAAGATTAAGATAATGGTCTAAGCATTTGAGTATAATCCAATAAGTTAATACAGATTATAGGTTCAGAAGATTTAAAGTGAAACACTCAAGCAAAGATATTAGGTATAGTAATTTGTAAAGAACCTTTAGGCAAACTCCTTAAATAGATAATATAAAAAAGTTACATATATAACCAATTGTACTTTCTTCTATAATAATTCATAAAAACATATTACCAATAAATCATTAATAAAAGTCAAAAGACCAAAAAAAAAATGTAATGACCTAGTAAAATGGTCAGGTTGTCAACTTTTCAAGTAGTAGATTGGATATTCAAATCCTATCAATAGCAAAAATTTAGAAAATTACCTATATAATATTCATATTATGACAACTGTTATTAATAATTAGATTAGAATATCTGTAATAGCAGTTGCATCAGTATAACTGGCAGGTTATGGAGCATCTGTGCAATGTTGAAGTTATACAAAGAAATGCAAACTGACAAATCAGGTAATGCAAACACTAAATAAGTTTTTGTGATTGTGTAAATCTGTTGAAATTAGGTAACAAGAAGTTTATTTAGAAAGGCCTAAATAAAGAGATAACTGGATCTTTAACAGTCTTAGTGTAAAGACTAACTTGATGAAATAAATACCAAGATCTAATATCTGATTATAATAACCAGACAGGTAAGAACCTTTAGGTTGAGAGTCTTAAAGGTATTACCAACTAGGCCATTGGAACAAATCAGAAAAAAAAGATATTAGGCTGATCTGATATACTGATGAACTAGTTATAATCCTATACAGGCTATCTGAATTAGAAGTTTAGTAAAAAGACAGAAGAAAAAGCAAGCATATACTAAAGTACTAAGGTTATACTGTAAAGTAGATGCTAGGGTCTAAGTAAACTCTATAAAGACATAATAGTTTAATAGTTAAACCCTGATCACAAGTATTAGTTCTACTATAATAATATCTAAATTAGTTATAAAAATAGATAAAGAAGACTCTGGAAGATTTACCTCGAAGATAAATTAGTCCTAAAATTAAAACAATAATCTGAGCATCTAGGTATGTCCTAGTGAATTAATACAGGTTATAGGTTCAAAGAGTTTAAATTGGAATACTCAAGCAGGAATGTTAGGTATGACAATTAGTAGAGAATCTTCAAATAAACTCCTTAAATAAGTAATATAAAAAAGTTATATATATAACCAATTGTATGCTCTTTTATAATAATTTATTGAACCACAATGCCAATAAGTGATTAATAAAAATCAAAAAACCAAAGAGGTTACCTTAACAAAAAAAAAAGACCAAAGAAGTCACCTTAATATTAAAAAAAAAAATTAAAATTATATATTTAAATATTACAAATTATTAATAAAAAGATTTTTTTTTTCTATATGTAAAAACAAAAAATTGAATGTTTTGTTCTATTTTATTTTGTCAACACAAATAATAATAGATAAAAAAAAAAATCCATATATATCTTTTATTATTATTATTGATTTTGTATATCTTTATGTAATTCAAACTCAAGTTTGAAATCTGGTACACATAGGCAGAAGTTTGTCTAATTGGCTAATAAATTCAATTCAATTTTACATTATTATACAGTTTAGAGTACTTTTTAAAAAAACAAAAACTAAACATAATAAAATAAAAAAAACTGTATAGAAGTTTTCATTAGAGTTGTAGGACTTCATAGCCAAAAATAATAATTTATTCTCTTCTATTTAAAAAAGTTAGTATAGTAATAACTTCTCAAAAGCCAATAAAATCAAGTTATTACTAGTGCTCTGAATGGGTCAAGTCAGGTAGGGTTTTGAGCCAACCCAAACCCGACCCGAAACTTCAGGTCAGGTCAGGTTGAATACTTTCAGGTTAGAGCTTCAACCTGACCTGAACCTGACCCAAACCGAACCCAAACCAACCCAAACTGAAATTTTAAGGCTATTATATTAAAATTTTTAAAAAAATGAATTCAGTTGCCCATTTTGCTCTTAAAATTTATGTAATGATGACTATCGAAATTGGTAAACTCGATATGCTTTATAACTATTACAGTAAAAGTCATGCATTGCATACTAGAATTAATGAAAGTTTTTTATTTTTATCCTATGATTCATAGAAGTAAAAAAAAATTTTATTGATTTTGCACTACAAAATTTCATAGCAGATTCTCGATTTTGATTTGCTAAAAGCAATAAGCAAAATATTTGGCTGGAATTACTGAGAATTTTATTATTATTTTTGGGCAAATTTTATCATAATGCGAGATTATTTTCCAAAATTTCTATTTTTGTAAAAAAAATCAATATTATGACCGAAAATTAGTAAAATATGTAATGCATGCCAAACTTTTGTGATCTGTGGCCGTTAACCAATCAAAATCGAGGATCTGCCATGACAATTTTGTTTGAAGAAATCTGATTGGTGGTTTTATTTAAACTATTATTTAAAAATATTTATGTACTTGCTATTACAAACATATGTACTTGCTATTATAAACATATGTACTTGCTATTAGAACCAAAAAAAAACATTAAAATGCTTATTTTTAGCATCTCTAATTTGGATAAATTCGGATGGGTTGGGTCAGATTCAGTTCGGGTTAATGTTTAACCCGAACCCAACCCAAACCTGATCCAAAATTTTCAGATCAGATTTTTCTAACCCGAAACCCGACCCGAACCGAAATTTCAGGTCGGGTTTCGGGTTGACCCGACCTGATTCAGAGCACTACTTGTTAGTATGAATATTGGCTGCATGATGATTATATTAGAAAAGTTGGCAAAATACAGTATTGAATAATTTTATTATAATTTATACATTTTTTTACATGTAATGTTTTAGTCAGATTGGTGTTGATAGTGTGGTGTATTTGGTTCTTTATTTTGGTAATAGATCTGCAATTGAAATATTAGTTTCAATTTTATGAGACAGGATCTTGCATTAATTAACGTGTGTATTTTTTTTTTTTGGCATATAATTGTTTTTAAAGTTCTAAGAATACTAAGGGATTTTTAAATTACTCATTTACAGAGTAGCTCTTGTAAGAATGTTTAAAGGATTTTTTTAAACTGATTATAGTGCTTTTCAAATTACCGTGATCAGCAAATTTCATGTATCATATTGGAAATCAGGAATCTAGAAAAAATGCCAGTCTATGATTGGCTAAAAATTATTTTATCAATTCTTTTTGCTAATAATAGACTGGCATTTTTGATTCTCGATGTGGTATATAAAATTTACTGATCACAGTAATTTGAAAAACACAATAAACTGATTATTGTTTTTTTAGAATAATTCTTTTATATATTGCAGATCAATTTCTATATTGAGTTCATGATAGATTTCAAATTCATCAATATTGCTATTGTTATGACATATTAATGACATCAATTTGGAAATTCATATGCTTGAGCTGATAAGTTTAGTCATGTTTATGTTTAGTAAATAAATGTTGTTGTAATGTAATTATGTAAATAAAAAGTTGGATGATTTAATTTGTTTGAATTTGTCGTGTTATTATACTTAGTATAGTTTAGAATATATCGGTTGGATATGATGTATTAAATAGAATGGCCTATTATATACGAGTATTTTTAATAGAAAACTCATTATCAGATCTTTAACATATAGTTGGCTTTCTGCTTGCCATCTATAGATAATTTATCATCGGACGTTTAATTATATCTTGTGACGCTCGGTTTAAAATATAATCGAACATTTGATGATAAACTGTTTATAGATAGGTATGTGTAAAGTTAGCCGTATATTGAAAATTCGATGTCAGGTTTTCTATTGATAGCATTTATACGATGGTTTCGTGAGAAAGTTTGGCTTAATCTTGATTATATAAAATTTGCATAATTGACATTTGGATCTGAGTATTCTTTAATTTATTTATTTTGTTTAATTATGTAATTATGATGTAACGTATTGTATTATTATATATTTATTAAATGTAAGAGTTATTTTTTTAGCGTGAAGATAAAAAAGTATTTGTACAGTTTGATAATTTACAATGCCTTGTTATGTTGATACAATTGTGAAAATAAATCAGGTTCGCCAAACATACAAAGAGGATTTAAAATTAATTGTTGTGTGGGTGATTGGTTTTTATCCTGTCGGGTATGAAGATTATGAATTGGAAATGGTTTTATTTATATCGACAGTCGGTGAGGAGAGAGATCCAAATACACAAGCAATTTTCGAGAAAAACAAATATTACTGTGTCGGTGAAAAAGTTGTTATTGGAAATTTTAATGGCAATTCAAGATTAAAAGTTACGTATATGCAGTTAATTTTGTTACAAATGATGGATACTTATTATGTTTTTATTAAATTTAGATAACAGTTGCATCATCAACTCACCTCACCATTAAGAGAGATTTTGGTTCCAATAGGTGTCCGTTAAAGGTTTCACTTGTAGGTATTACTCAGGAAGTTCCAATAGAGATTAATGATGAAAATGCAATAGTCAATGTATTGGTCAATGATTATGCTAGGCAAAGTTATAGCTTTACCATCAAAATAGTGTTTCCGTATTGCAATACTAGATTCAAACATCTGATGAATTCTATTTGACCAAATGAATTGGTGTTTTTTGTTGTAGAACAAATAGAGGTTATTGAAAAAGAGTTATATGTATATGCAGTTGATATTTCTTATGTTGATTTTGGTTTTGTGATAAAGAAAAGGGCATCTGATTCTGGAAGTTCTTAAACCGAACCGGCATCATACAGATCAGTTCATTTGAGGCTTTTAACCGCATATCAAAGTGTTAATGAAGATTTATCCAAAATTTCTAAGGTTAAAAATTTATATTCAGCTGAGAAGAAGGGTAGGTCTGTGGTTAATTCAGTTACCGAGGATTCCCATTCATTGAAACGTACTAGAGTGGAGGATGAAAATAATTGCATTGAATGTACTGATTCCTACATCGAACATGCGAATGTATATGATGAAGAAGGTATAATCGATAATGATGAGTATGAAGAAGTTGCTGTTCGTAATAATGAAAAACTTACGTGCAGTCATGAAAGGTCAACTAAGGGTAAAGAAAAAATGATTGTGCCCGTAGTCCATAATACTAGAAGGCGAGCTGAACTATCTAAAAACATTAATAGCAATGTAGAAGTATAAAATTACGAGATTATATCTGGCTGATTAGTTTACACTGGTTTGCTGTATAAAATTTACATTCAAAATATACTTATACTAGTGTAGGTATTTACGTAGAAACAAGAGGGGTTTACAATACCTGAAATAAGTAGATATTATATGCTGAACAATTTACTTCGATATTAACATTCTTGACGTAATTGTAGTATATGTAAATAAATGAATATTTTTAACGATAGTTATCATGAGTTTATAATAGTTTATCAGATATTCGTGCTTTTTTGTTAGGTTATTTGTAGAGAATAATTTAAATTTTATCTCACAATAAATCAGGGAAATGTTTTTCATTTGGTGAATACGTAACAATGTGTATTACATTTTGTAAATATAATAAAAGAAATCGGTTTAAATATAAATTATATATTACATGTAATGTTTATAAAATTATATATTTAATTTTAATTTTTATTTATATGATTTAATCTTAATAACACTTTATAGTACTAGATAGAATTACCAGGTATATATTTGTTGGTGAAATTTATTTATCGTATAAGAATATCATAAGTCTTTACTTGTTACAGAAAGTTTCTATAGTAAGTCTGGAGTAAGTGTTAGATATTAGAAAATACAGTTTGAATTACGTTTATTTATAAAAAAATCATTAATTTTTATCCGAATATAGACTATCAGGTATGTAGTTTTCTGATTCATAAGGAGAATTGAACCAATTAGTTTGATTTTTGAATAAATCGATCAGTAACTCTAGTAATACTTGTAAATTAAAATAGCAGATTATAGATATAGAAAGACGAATTTTGCAATTCATTAAATGATATTTGTAAATGCATAAACAAGGATACTGGTTAATATTTAATATTAATTGTAAGTACAAAAAATTAGAAAAATTTCTAAAATTCTATGATCAATATATTAATAATCTGTGTTGTGATGTTAGATAGTAGGCCATTTACTTAATTGTTCAGTTCTTTTAAAACATTCTTCAAGACGTTCAAGTTCTTTTTTAAGATCAGGCTCTATGACTGCATTAAGTTTTGATGGCTTAAAGGGTTAGAGTATCATAACGTCCTGTAGTCTTTGTACTTGAGATAGCATAATGTAAATACCTGATTTTATATTACTATCATTAAAGTCAATAATTGCCTTTTCCAATGTAGCACCTTGGCACTTAAATTCTGTGAACACAAAAGCTGGAGTTACAGGTAATTGAATTCTTTGAAATTCTCTCGTCATATTTGTGCCATTTTCTATTTTATGTACATATTTGTATTTTTGTTTAATTGGATATATAGAAATGTGATTCAGCGAAAGACTATCATATGTACCCGGTGTATGGTTTAGGAGTTCAAGTACGATATATTTAGGAGGTCTATCAATAATAATACTCTTTCCTTCACCAATATCTGTATTCTCAACAATCATAGATGTGCTATCATATACAATTTTACGAAGAATGCCCTGTGCTCTATTTACCATACCATCATGCATGCAAATATTGATGGTTAAGGCTAGTTTCATTCCAATTGATAATGGTAATATACCACATAATGTATTTGATTTTGTATCTGATACACTGAGAAATTTTTGTCTTATATTACCATGGAGAGATCTATCCTTGTAAGTATCTTTAGTGCAAATATAATAAACCGGTTGGTTATTATATTTAGCATGTTTTATAGTAGCTTCAAGGTTTATTTGAATCTGTAGATCATTTCTCCTGACTAAAAATACAGGATTTTTCCATTCTGGCAAATTCAACTCATCTTCTGTCATTATTCAATCGTAAAGAGTATTACATTGAGTTGTTGTCAGGCATCCGTGTTGTAAGTTATTTAATATTGAAGCGTATGTTAAATCATTTATCTGTCTCATTTGTTTTTTTAGAATAATAGCATGGTTTACTGATAAACATAATTCCCTGCCACTTGTATTTATTACTGCTCGAGTATTAATAGAACCTGAGATTCGTTTTCGTGTGTAGCTGGTTATTTTTGAAGAGATCATTTTGTTAATATTACAAGGTCGATACAATGGTGGATCAAGTACCAGTAGAAGTTGCATAAAGTCACTGGAGAAAATTATATTTAAGCCCGCGAATGGTAGGGTATCATCTCAGTAAGGTTTTGCTTCCTTGATATGTGCATGGAATTGCATCAGAAGTTTTTGACCCACCATTGAAATTTCGTCTAAAATCAGATATTCTATATCTGCCCATTGATCCTGAAGTGTTTTTGTAGATTTTCCTTTAGAATAGTGATATTTAAAATCTTCATTCTCACCAAATTTAAAACTGCATAGCAAATGTAGAGTATGACCACCAATACAAGATGCAGCGAAACCAGTTGATGCACAAACTGCAAGTAATCGTTTTTGGCCAATTAGATCAAAGAATTTACAAATTGCTCTGATAACTTTAGACTTTCCTGTGCCGCCAGCACCACTAAGGTGAATCAATAGTTGAGATGGTTTGTCAGACTATTTGGATAATTTCGTTGGTGGTGATCACAAACAAGAAAAAAAATTTTTTTTTGCTCGTCGTTAAGATCGCTTGAAATTTCTAGTAGCAGATCAGTTCTATCTATTATTTTTAATGACCGGGAAGATGTAGTATTTGATCGATCAAAAGTATATGCAATGAGTTCTCATGCATAACTTTCTTTAGAATTCTCTTCTATTGTTCTGCTTTTTTTTCATGATACTATAATTTCTTGCCATTTTTGAATCAATTTATCATCATTTTCATAAGCAGGTCTATATTGGTTTTTATCATTATTACTGTTAGCAAAATTGTTATTATTTGTATTAAATCCGTTTTTAAGATGTAAATGTAACATCGCTTCATCAACTAGCTTTGAATTACGGAATCCGGAATGTATAATCGTATATGGATTAAAAGAAGATATACTGCCATTGTTAAAGTCTTCTAGGTTATTCATTATTTCAATATCATCAGTAGAAGTATCATATCCCACTACTGATCTCTCTATTCATCGAAGTTTTGCTATTTCTGAATTTTTATTAGCCATTTGGTGTAATTGTTTGTCTAAAATCGTTTCTTCTTTACATTTTGCAAAAGGTCTATATTATTTATGATTGATCGTAATCATGCAGATAAATTCGGGTCTTGCAAAAAAGCATTACATGCTTCATGCCATGAGCCATATTCTTCCAACAGATTATATGAAGAGGTCCATGGTTTGAAAAGTAATAATATGCAGATTTTATAACGTTCAATATTTTCAAGGTCATCTTTACATGGAATACCTTTTCCATATAATACTGGTATCCTTTCATTCCCATGAGACCAGTGAACTTGTATATGCATTGAATGTTGTGGGTGCTTAATTCTATTATTAGAAGTTTCATCACATTGCTGATTTCCACCTAAAAAGTAAAATCGGTCTACCCTTGTTGTTCGTCCTTCTCGACTTCCCTGTCTAGTCAATTTGTTTAACTCTTTATCATTAATTTTTACTTTATGTATAGTTGCAGCATAATCATAAAGGCACATATTTTTTAACTGTTTACCACAATACATATAATCAATTCTTAAATTTATTGCAGTTATTTTTCCATCAGAATTCACTATTCCAAACATTTCATCATCTATACTATCATCTTGGTCTAATTCACTATCACTAGTACTATCATCATTCAAAATATCTGAAACTGATTCAAATAAATTTTCTCTAATTTAGAATTGTCTGATTAAATACATTTCAAAGTATTTAGATAAATTGAAATAAACTTATTCGGCGTATAGTGGTCACCTAAGCCTAAAATATATGCTGATATTTGAGGTCTGGTTAATTCTGTTCATCCTGCAATTTTATTAAGACACAATGTAACAAGTCGTTTAGATCTTTCAATGCAGTTTTGTGATATTTCATCTGCCAGTTTCTTAAGATATTTGTTCAACATCATTGCACACATTAAGAATAAGTTATGAGTATTTAAATCAGATTTAGTTATGTAGTCTGTAATATAGTGAACATATGCTAAGGCTAGTTTAGTTGTTGCAATTAATCTAATGTCATTGTTACCACGACAGCTAGCAGTTATGTACGGGTTATGATTGTTAATATAAGCATTAAGGCATTAAAAGACAATAACCCCAAGTTCAGGATAGATTTTTCTGGGTGCTTTAACTATTTCACGAGGAAAATCAAAACAGCAATTAGATATCCTACTACAATTATATTTTTTATACGATTTAGTACACTTGTGAAATAGTATACATTTAGCAATTGCAAGAACATCAAGACGAAATTTCTCATCAAAATCTGGCAATTGTGGGTCCAGAATAGGTAAGAACGATGGGTGCATTCTCTTTTCCAAATTTGTTTTCAGAGATATATATTCTTCCATTAACATTTTATTGGTTAAATATTGGCCATCAGGAAAAAGGTAGCTAAGATCTTTCTTAACGATTTCATTCACATAATGCATTAACTGTTCTTTAAAATTTTTATCATTCTTTAAACATTCTCGAAGTTCAATTAGATTGAGGACCCCTTCAAGCCAAATCAACATATGACAATGGGGTGTTCCACAATCTTGATACTCAATTATTGCATAGTAATTTTTTATTTCACCTAACACACCACCTTTTGGTCTCTTATAACCAATTATAAATTTGATTATATGCTTTATAACAACATCAAAGTATTTTGCCACAGCAGCTGGATCGAGATAAGCTAATTTTGCCCTTTCTGTCGCAGTTGGAAAATTATCAGAGAGTAGAGAATCATTGTTAATTTTTTTTCCTGCATACATCATCACAATTGGACTGTGAAGGTCTGCTAGATTAATCGTAACAAATAATGAGAGCAAACCATCCCTTATAATCAAGGCACGAAGTTCATTACGAAGATGGTTTCGAGATTGATTTGAACTTATAATTTTTCCTCTAACAACATTAATGTTCTTGAGTAATTCGAGAACAACATTATTTGTTATCGGTTGTTTGTTATATTCTTGTTCAAGTACCAATTCCATATTATATGGTGTTAGCTTTGCGATTAAATCAGCAGATCATTCAAAATTCACCCACTTTGTCATTAGGTATGTTCCAGTCACAATTTCTCTCCTTTGTAAGATATCAAATATCACAAAAATGAATGATCAATGTTGTCTGAACCTAGGGTCATGAAGACACAACAAGTGGTTGGTATATTGTTTGAATGATATATATTGTTTGCGAAATTTATCTTCATGACCGCCAATGTCATAAGGAAATAAAACAAAAAATGCAGCAGGTAAAAGTATGAGATCTGTATATTCATTTTGGGGGTAATTCGAATGTAGCATTAAAATTGTTTTAGAGTAATTATTTTTAACAGCATCTGATTCCTCAATCATCTTTTCAAGCAATTTTAAAGTACAGTTTTTTTCAGAGAAAGAAATATCTGCGCATGCCATACCCGAATTTCTTAATTCTTCTTCATTGTTAGTGAAATTATGTTTAGTATTATCAAATTGTTCACTACTAATATTTAATTCATCATTTTCTAGATCATTCATGTTATTATCATCAATTAGATCTGTAACATATCCAGTATAATGTTCTATTTCTTTTGGATCTGTATCAACTATTACAGTGGTTGCCATTAAAGCCATCAGAATTTCATCTTCTGGTAAAGAATTCAATGCTATTCCATCTATCCTAACCTTTTTATACAGGATATTATGATTTATTAACCAATTTAAAGCGTCAATAACTTTACTTTTTCTTACCCGTAATATTTTTTTTAACTGTGCTTCAGACAGTTGACCTTGACCAACAAATACTACTTTCAGGTTGTCGCATAAATGATACATAGGTAAAGGTAAAACAGTAGTAAGCGATACCGGGTTTTGAGTAAAAGTGATTACATGGCCTTTCAGCTTGTGATGTGTATGTTGTTGGTTGGTAAGTTGAATAAGATTTATACACAGATATCCCGTAGAAATTAAGAGCTGTTCTGGGATCGTTAATCTCTGAAGACATAATGAAACTGGTCCAATCCAAACATTCGCTAAAGATAACAATGGAGTTTTACCTATATCCAATGATCTTTTACAATTCACGCATATACGAAGATTAAAAGGGTCTTTACTTCCTGGCATATTTTGTTTAACAAACCCATTCATATCTAACAGAATTTTATGTCCACTTTTGTCAATGCATAGATGTCCATAGTTGAAATTTACATCGAAAAATAATTTCTCAAATTTTTTGTCAATTTTTAGTAATGACAAATTTATCTTTTTTACTGGAACCACGGACCAATGTTCCGATGAAAACATCTCAGAACAAACCACGCAAGGCAATTCTTCAAGTGAGTCACACATTGTATTTTTACGAAATTCCATTAACGCATTATTCGCAATATCTTTAGTAATAGGTTGTGGCCAATTTACGTATTGTTCTTTTTTCAGATCAAAATAATTGTCCATCTCCAGAACACGTAATGGAACACCCGCTTCTCTAGCTTGTAAGTCCTTTTCTACAAATGTTCTTCGCCTTTTCGCACGTTGCTCTTCACGTCTAATGGCCATTTGCCGTTTAGTTTTTAATCTTCTGAAATCAACCCTAATATATTTTAACACAGTTTTAATAATAAATAAATTTAATGTAACATTGGTCTGTAATTCTGTATTTACATGTTAGCAAGGATCAAATAATATATTAAGTGTTTGCATATATCACTGAATACTTGTTTATATAAATTTCGTTCAAGCAGAAGTTTATTAAACCTTTTTTTCCGCACGACAATTTAATTTTTCGTTATTCTCATCCAACGTCAGGAATTTCAAATACAGCTTAATAACCAGGAAATCAATTTAACCAACCATAACCCAAATTATGAAATCATTATTACAAAAGTTCAGTTTATTTTTCTTGATAGGATTAGTGCGAATCGCTAAACCATTGCCACAACAATTATCCTTAATAAGTATAGTATGAACTCCAACCATGACGATCAACTTACAACATTGATACGCAAAGGGAAAGCTGTAAATGCTTGCACCATATCTAATATTCACCGTTTATATACATGCTATTACCAATCAACAATTACAATCCCAAGAAAAAATTTTGTACAATAATTTACATGATGACTCTAGCACACACTCAAGCACATATTATTAGGTATTCTAAGTAAATCATTAACTCACTTGTAAACCAAACCCGACTATAGAACAAACTGACACGATATACACCAAAATATACATCATCCATATTTAAATTAAAATCACACAGTCATAATATCTTCTAAAATAGGAAAAACATAGTGTACAAAAAGCCCAAAGGAACATATCTCACGCGATTATTCCAGTAAACGGAAAAATTCACAAACTTGCTTGCCAGGTCATCATTTGTTATACTAAAGTACAGTTTAAAGTGTATTTGCCAGTATGCATAATAAAAGAGGTAACTACCATACACAAGCTTACGCCAGTAAATTTATCATCATAATTACACAATTTATACGCACTTTGATTACATAAACAACCAAAAAATGGTAAGGCAGATCTCATAACTTAACATTACTAAACTACACTTTAGACTATACCTCAAACGGAAAAAACATGATAACCATAATACCTTCTAAAATAGGAAAAAATATAGCTCACCAAAAAGTTGAACGGAACCATCCCTCACATATTTCATATGATCGTACTGGTATATACACAGTCACGCACACCGATAAGCATAATTAAACTTAAAATATTGACAGGACCAGCAGATATTTTAATTAATATACTTAATTTATACTTATTATTATACTTATATTGTTGATATACGTATTTTATAAGTTTAAAAATCATGTGCAATTAGATAGTCGGTAGTGTTCCGAGTTGGTAAAAATTCTTTCATCGATTAGTTGCCAACTATAGTTGCAAATAATCAACTTTTACTATCATATGACTAAATTTGTTGATTTGTCAATCAAACTAAAGAGATCAATACGAACCAGCCCGAATAGATGGAATATCCCAGAATTTAACTAGTCGATGATTTAATCAACTAGTTATTTTAAAATTTTCCAAATCGATTAGTTGGAAGTTGTCAACTAGTTAGTTTTTCAACTAACGATTTGGATCACTAATAGTCGGTTAGAGCATAACCGCGTATACGTGTCTATGGATTAACTCAAAATACAAATATATGCTGGTATTTGATGAATTTGATTATAAAAGATATAATTGGAATGGAAAATTTGCAAATTACAAGCAATATAACACATCACCAGCCTGGTGCCAAACATACTACCCTCAGAAGACAACACAAGGATGGACAAGTGGGAATAAAGATATTGATGATTGCATTAAAGAATTTCAACTTAAAGCTACTTCTTATGAAGATGTATCGAATTGATTCCTTTTAATAGATTAAAAACTATTCAAATTATTGACGATAAATGTTTAGCAAGCTGGTTAGATGGGATACGATATGTAAATGAGTTGGATATAACAAACGTATACCATCATGTAAAGTGGAGCTTAAATATTGGCTAGATCGCAAAGTTTATTGGATAAGTTAATTAAGTTGAAATATTTAATCATTGTTCACGATATATAGCTTTCAATATACTGTTTAATGTTTAATAAGTTTGTAGATTATGTACAGTTAAAGACTAATATTCTTAATATATGTGAACTAACTCAAAACAACACAAAAAATGAGTATATATTAATATTTTATGAATTTTGTTCTAAAAGAGATATAAATAATGGCAAATGCGCAAATTGCAAGCGATATAACTAGTGCTCCGAATCGGGTCGGGTCAACCCGAAACCCGACCCGAAATTTCGGTTCGGGTCGGGTTTCGGGTTAGAAAAATCTGATCCGAAAATTTCGGATCGGGTTCGGGTCGGGTTCGGGTTGAACATTAACCCGAACCGAATCCGACCCGACCCGATCCGAAATTATCCAAATTAGAGATGCTAGAAATAAGCATTTTAATGTTTTTTTTTGGTTCTAATAGCAAGTACATATGTTTATAATAGCAAGTACATATGTTTGTAATAGCAAGTACATAAATATTTTTAAATAATAGTTTAAATAAAACCACCAATCAGATTTCTTCAAACAAAATTGTCACGGCAGATCCTCGATTTTGATTGGTTAACGGCCGCAGATCGCAAAATTTTGGCCCGCATTACATATTTTACTAATTTCCGGTCGTAATATTGATTTTTTTTACAAAAATAGAAATTTTGAAAAATAATCTCGCATTATGATAAAATTTGCCCAGGAATAATAATAAAATTCTCAGTAATTCCGGCCAAATATTTTGCTCATCGCTCTTAGCAAATCAAAATCGAGAATCTGCCATGAAATTTTGTAGCGTAAAATCAATAAATTTTTTTTTTTTTAATTCTATGAATTATAGGATAAAAATAAAAAACTTTCATTAATTCTAGTATGCAATGCACGACTTTTATTGTAGTAGTTATAAAGCATATCGAGTTTACCAATTTCGATAGTCATCATTACATGAATTTTAAGAGCAAAATGGGCGACTGAATTCATTTTTTTAAAAATTTTAATATATTAGCCTTAAAATTTCGGTTCGGGTCAGTTCGGGTTTGGTTCAGGTCGGGTTCGGGTTAGGTTGAAGCTCTAACCCGAAAGTTTTCAACCCGACCTGACCCGAAGTTTCGGGTTGGGTTCAGGTTGGCTCAAAACCCGACCCGACCTAACCCGTTCGGAGCACTACTAACAAGTAATAATCTAAATCCAATATATGAATATAAAAAATTTCAATAACAGAACATCACATGTATAATAAATTTGTAATAAAAATTATTTTATAAATAACATATTAAATCCGATCGTACTGTTCCTGCTTGTCATCGCATGTCACACAGCTAGCCTAATTCATAATTAGAATTTAGATGTCGTATTCTATCTAACCACTTTGCTAAAAATCCATTACCATTATTTTGAATATAATCACATATTTTGCAAACTCCAGAAAAATTGCAATTAATTAATTGAGATCAAATAATTGCAATTGATTGAGATCAAATAATTGCAATTAATTACTTTCTTAATTAAATTTTCAGTACACCTGCACGATACCACTATGATATACTTAATATAAATATAGTAAAGAAATCATTTTTCTTGGTGAATGCTTGTAATGTAGCTCAGTGATTCTCAATACACAGACATAGTCTAATAAGAGAATCACAAAAGTCTAACAAAACTTCTACACCTCACATACAATTACTGATCACACATGAGAAGATATCAAAAGATTGAAAAAAAATAAAGTGAAATTATTGCAATATTAAACTACATTTAATAAATTTAATTACAAAAATTTGCAAATTTGATTGGTTAAGGCATCATGTAAAGTCAAACATCATATTACACAATTTCCTTATCTAGCAGTTCCTTGCCTCAAACTAGGGATGGGGAATATTTCCACTATCAAATTGGAAATTTTTATCATACTAACATCAAATATTCCATTTATTCCATTTTACTCTACTTTATTTCAATAACAATCAGATTATTAGATTAACACATGATACTATATTTAAGTTCAACATTTGTAAGCAATTTATTTTATTTTTTATTTTAGCAATGTAATCAAAATTTTAATTTTGATTGTTAAAATATAACATTGTAAGAAATTTAAGTAATTCTGTACTTAAATTATGCCTATCATTATCTAAAATTTTGTCATATACAGAAAAACTTCATTCTATAACACAAGCAGGAATTGGTAATTAGATATAATAATGAACAATTTTTTCTAAAAGAGGATGTTGTAATGCAATCTTGTCCCAAAACATATGGAGATCTGTAAATTCTATAGTGTTCAAGTTAATATTACAATAAATTGCTTATTCTTAATAAAAAGATGATAAAAGATTAACTAGCTCTTTAATAGTTTGATATGAACAGATATCCTAATTAGCAGTCATTAATATTAAAAATTATAAATTAAAAATTTGAACTGCTCAGAACAAAGAACATGTAAGATGTTATAAAACATGAGTTTGAAGTTTTTTGTAAGCAATATTAAATGTTTGCTAAAATACTAGAACAAATAATATTATAAAAGCATTTAATTTTTATACTACTGCATTTACTATTGGTCCAAAATTAGTTGTTATTGTTCTTACAATTATTCATATTTCAAGTTATTGTAATCTTTATTCAATAAACAAAAATATCAGTTTAATTTTTTGTTAAAAATAATCTAAATCAGCAATAAAATGCTTTGCATTTTCTTGAATAAATACCAGATAAATTTCTATACAAAAATTTACTCATTGATTAATAAAAACTAAATTAATTGGTTTAATTGTTGATGTAGAATTTTTTTATCTTTTTTATTATAAAATCCACAAATATAGTCTAAGTGTTGATACATATAAAATGGCATATAAAATTAAGTATTTCATCATATTATATTAAATAATAGTATATTTGTTGGATTAGATTCTTCATGGTAATGAAAATATAATAGATAACATATGTCTACTTTTACACAAACTAAAAGTTTGTTTAATATTTATAAGTAGCTAGTAAA